ACTAACTGTGTGCCCAAGACACGTTATGGGCCCTCTCTAGTCCTTAGCGTCTTGGTGGGTAAAAATGAGCAGGATACTAAACATGTAAAAGACCTTCCAGGATGGGTATCGAGGACCAAGTAGGAGAGTTGATGCAAAGCACGCAAAACCGTGCCACGCGTTTGGAAAGCCCAAATAAGTACAAGCTGTGACTCACCTCCCACTTTTGCTGAGTGTTTCATAGAAAGAGGCAGGCAGAAAATATTTGCCGTGCCACCAAAAATATCAGAGAGAAGAGGGAAAACACGGTGATGGGGCTGAGTTGAGCCGATAGGAGTATCTCACCATCTGAATACCCCAGCAGGCCTTCCTTAGAATAGCTACAACGGATCCCACACCATATGTCCTCTTCTCCTGCCAAATGCTTAGTGGCTTTCCTCTGAGGTAGTTTCTTCCCTGGCTCTCATTTCCTAAAGCTCAGCGGAGCTGAGTCCTTAGCTGAATCTCGGAATGGGATGCTCACACACAGGACCCAGCCAAGGTCACCAGAGTCCTATCTATGTTTCTTGTTGAGGTGTGAAAGTTCTCAAGGGGACACCAACAAGGATTATTTGGGGCTAAGAAGTTTGTTGGGAGAGGTATTAAACTCAAGCAGACAGACAGATAAACAACAGTATGGTAGGAACACAGGAGATTCCCAGCCCCAGTGCCATTAAGGGACAGCACAGTGGACATTCTGAAGAGGAAATTAGGCCCTTGTGGCAGAGTTGGGGGTCTTTTCTGAAGAATAGGTTGGGGGTTCACAGCCATGCTCCCTGAGTCCCCCAACAGGAGGTAAAAGAGAGAGTAGGGAGCCGGATGTGTCAACCCCTATACCTTCTTTGATGTAAACTCACTTCCCGGGCTAGCGGGCAGGCATCTGGAAATCTGTTAGCTTCTCAGAGGGTGCTCTCAATAGAGACCTGTCAGTATCTCCCAGAGGGGTGCAGCTTCTGTGAGGTTTGTGGTGGGAGCAGCAGTCTGCTCTGGATTTTAACAGGGTTATGTTTTACTTTAGCTTCTTTTGCTATGATAAAATACCCTGACAAAAGTAATTTAGGCAAGAAAGCATTTAGTTTAGCACACTACTCCAGGCGACAATCCATCATAGTAGGAAGCCAATGAGGCAGGAACTTAAAACAGCTGGTCACATGATATTCATGTGATGAATAGAGGGATGAGTTAATGCCTGCTGGCTGGTATTCACTTTCTCCCCTCATATACAGTCCAGGACCCAAACACAAGGAAGGTGTGGTCTCACCTACTGTTAGACTGAGTGTTCTCATACCAATGACAGAATCAAGGCAATTGTCCACAGACACGTCCAGAGGCCTACCTGATCTAGACAGTTCTTCACGTTAGCACTAGCCATCACAGATTGTGAAGCTGGACCTCCCAGGGATCACCATGCTGTGAGATGAGGAACCCTAGCTGAGTTCAACTGATAAAAAAAAAAAAAGCAAAGGACAATACAGGGTAGGGATGTGGGCCCATCGGTAGAAAGCTTACCCAGCACATAGGAAGCTCTGGTTTCAATTCCCAGAGCCACATGAACATAGGAGTGAGCAGTGCTTGTCTGAAATCCCAGCACTGGGAAGGTTGAGGCAAGAAGAACAGGAGTTCTATGTTTCCTTGCTATATTGTGAGTTTGAGGTCAGCCTGGGTTATCCTGTTGAATGAACCCATCTGAAATGGTTTCTCTTCCTTGCAACTAAGAGATGTGAAATGGGAATCTTTACTCTACCATCTTAATCAGAGTATCCTTGACTATTACAAGAGACCTTCAACAACACAGGGGCCTGTTGAGTGGTCCCTCAGAGACGGACCAGCCACTCTTTCCTGCCTTACTTCCTTGGCAGGACTTTCTTCCCCAGATTCACATGGTCTGAGTGCCTTGGGAGAAGTACAGAGAGTGAGGGAATTGACAGGGTATTGTCTGTGCAGCTACGGGGGTAGGGGTGGGGGTGGGGGGGGGTGGGGGAACTGTCACCATTGCTGGGGTGAGGCTTCATGCTGATACTGCTATTAGGGGCCTTTGTCATACAACCCTCCTGCAAATAACTCCCATCTCTTGCTTCTGTAAGTCAATCCAGTAAAGTCCTTAGTTCATCAAGTTGGGGGAATATACATCCACACAACACATTCACATCACTGGTGTGTGTGTGTGTGTGTGTGTGTGTGTGTTAAAACAGACAAACAAAGACAGAAATAGAGAGAGAAAGAGAGGCAGAGAGAGAGAGAGAGAGAGAGAGAGAGAGAGAGAGGAAACAGACAGAGTGTGTCTTTTCTTAACTTAACTTAATTGTTTGGTCCAATTAAGGGACCCAGCTAACACAAGATCTAAATATGAGGTGAAAATATTAAACCTGTATTAATTTTATACATCCATGGGGATTTTCACCAGCATCTGATGTGAGAAGCAGAGCACCTCTACACATTTTAGACAAAGAGTAATACATTTGCGAAGGAACGACAAGACAGATGGGCCTCTGACTAGGGGAGTAAACTCCAGGATATCGCTAGGAGATATATGGGGCCATCAGGCTGGGGGGAGATAAGGGCTACTTCAGGTTGTTTACACAGGTCCAGGGCAGCCCAGTCACCCGCCTGAGGTCATCAAGGCTCTGTCCTAGCCTTAATGTGTGAAAGGATCTTTATGGCCTGTCGCTCCTGGTAGAGTCAGGCTGAATGAACCTTCCTGTGGCTATAGTTCCTCCGGGAGTTGACAGCTGACAGGCCAACATGGTACATTTTGAGATGGTTTGTCCGTCCCGCTTTGACTTTTCCATATAATATCTCTTTCCTGGACATGCTGCTTGGAATTTTACAAACTACTGCTTTTCGTACATTAGGGAAATGCATGGGTACCAACAAGCAGAAAAAGCTTTATAAACATGGAAACAGAGAAAAGCCAGACAGTTAAGGGAGGAAAGAAAGGTGATTCTCTCCAAGCTGGAGAAGCCTGAGGACCCAAATTTGATCCCTGAAGATCTACATGGTGGACGGAAAGAACTGACTCGTGCAAAGTGTCTTCTGACTTCTGCATGCATGCTGTCACTCATGCACAGGCACATGTACACACACACACACAGACACACACACGAACTCACTCCTGCATGCATGCACATATGCACAGCACACAAATACATGAGTAAGTATATGTAATTTTAAAATTCACATTTAAATAGATTCATAGAGGTAACTGCTCTCAGGCAGGAAAGGCCTAGGAGATAAAAAGTCTTTTAAGGAAATGCATGCTGGCATGGCCCCATGCTCTGAAGTGTTTAGTGGTCTTTGGAGGCCATTTTGTTTTTACATTTTCTTTTTTATCCATTTGTTTTTCATAAGTGTATATATTGTATGCTGTGCACACTATTCTTTCTCACCTCAGTGGATTAGTCTCCTTTGTCCCCATAGCTTCATTTCTACTTTCATGTTACATATCTATGTAAAATCTAGGAACTTCACGCAAGAAAAAACATATGAGTCTTTCTGAGCCTGGTTTATCTCCCATTAATCCTGCATGTCGATACTGGCTTGTGGCAGTGATTTGTGTACATGGATGAGAATGCATGTGAGTGTGGCTACAGACTATAGGATTAGATCAGAGACCAGGACGGGGTTGGGGGGGAGAGGAAGTGAACAAGTGGGGGGTGTTGAGGCAACAGGATGCTTGTGACATAAAAGGAGAAAGAGGGTGACTGAGGGGGGAAGGATACAAGAGAAGATGGGGGAATGGAAGAAGAGCTGGGGAGGAAGATCAACAAAAGCAAATTTTGTTTGAAAATCCATGATGAAACCTAATGTTTTGTACAATAATTAAAAACCTAAACTTTAAGAATCCTGTTTTTAAAATGCATCCACTTTTTGGCAATTAACATAACTATTTTTTATGGAAAATAATTCACATACAAATATGATAGGTAGTTCCCATTTTCTGTATCCATATCTGTTCATGGACACCTAGGATGGTCCCCACAATGTGAACAGTGCTGAAAAAAAAAACCTTGATGTGCAAGTATCTATGTGCTATGTGATATATTGACTTAGAGTCCTTTGGGTGAGTATTTGAACAGAGTGGGATAGCTAGGTCATATGGAAGGCCTGTAGCCTGAGTCCTAAGAAAGCAAGCAAGGAAAGAATTCATAGAGACACCAGGCCTGGCAACTAGTTCCCAAGTTTCATAGCCTGGCTATGTTACTTGACTGAAACCTGCCAATACAGCATCTAAATCTTCATTCATTGATTTGAAAGAAAGCTCGCTGTGATATCAAACACTCTAAGTCTTGACATTTGGCAAAGAGTGTCAGAAAGACTGAGGGTTCAGGACACCAGCCCGGGTTATACTGTGAGTTCCAGGACAGCCTAAACTGCATAGCCAGGCACTGTCTTAGAGAAAAAACCATACCACCACCACCACAGCAACAAAGTCAAAGGCAAGAAAGAGAGATAGGAAGATGGCTCGATGGGTAAATGTGCTTGCCACCATGCCTGATGAGCTGGTGGGAGGGGAGAACCAACTTCAACAGGTTGTCTTCTGACTTCCAGCCAGGCACATGCACACACACACACACACATACACACACAAACACAATTAGTAAAGCAATGTAATATAATGTTTAGCAAAACAAAGGAATGGACTTTTATACATTTTTTTTGTACAGTGGTTCTTAGCCTTCCTGATGTTTTGACCCTTTAATAGAGTTCATCATGCTGTGGTGATCCTCAGCCGTAAAATTATTTCATTGCTACTTCACAACTGTCATTTTGGTACCGTTATGAATTGTAATATAAGTGTCTGATATGCAGGACGTCCAATGAATGACCCTAAAGGGGTCTCGACCCACAGGTTGAGAACCACTGATTACATAAAAATTAGAGTGCTGACCCAACATATTTGAGTTTTCTCATTAGCTCCGCATTCAAATGATCAACTTATAATTCTTGGATCTAGCCTTGTTATCAATACCATCATCATTGAACCTATCCCTTCTCATAATTATCAAAACTCACACTAGACAGTAAGTTATGAGTTGTGAATGAGGATTTATTTTTGCAAGAGTTTCTTTTTTGTCTTTGTGTATCAACCAAGTCAACACACATACACAGGAGCTATAGAACAATACCCTTGAGCATAGAGTGGTCTTGGATCTCAGAGGAGCTAAGAAATCTTGCCTAGCAAGGTGCTGTTGGAAGGTCCCAGGTGTAGACAAAATTGTCTTGGCCAGGCAGCTGCCTGTTGCCTCAGACAGTGCATGAGAACTTCCTGGAGTGGTAAGCACTCTTACCAACTGACTATCTTGCCACCTCAGTGTCAACATATCAGAATGTACAGTATAAATAATCTTATTGTAGATTGTCCATCATGTACAACATCACCCCCCGCCCTTTCACCGTAGGCTGTGTACTAATGCTAGTAGGGGCTAAGTTAGCAGAGAAGCACCTGGTTGGTGGCAAATAATGCAATATTGAGTAGTGACTGGTTAAACAACCACCTTTCAGTCAAAGCTGGTGACATCTGGTTCTCCTACTCTTGTAAGTTAAAGTTCAGGAAACTAAAAGACATTATTTCCAATATATCCCTTGACAATTGGAAATTACATTTATATATCATATATATATATACATGGGGGCACATGCCAGAGTGCTTGGGGCCCAGCCTGAGAAATGGAGAATCCCCAGGACTGTCACGGTAGAGGAGAACTGACTTCTGAACCTGTAACTTTTGTCCTGACTTCTGTCCTCCAAGCTCCACAGGCAGATCCTGGGGCTTGAATTCAGGCAATCAGGCTTGAGGGCAAGACTGTTTCCTGCTAAGCCATTTTGTTGGCCCTCCATATGTCCCTCATTATCTGCTGTATTAAAATGGTTAAGTCTCCCAGGCAATTGTGGGCAATTTTCACTCCTTGCAATATTTGTACCTGAAGCAGCTAGATGCTTTCATAAAGGAAGCTAAGTGGGGGGCGGGGGCTGCTAGCAGCTTTTCTCAGCCCCCAGTCTGCAGTGCTGCTGAGATGAGAGAAAAGGGGAGCTTTGTGTAAGGTGTCTGAAAGGACTGTTAGGAATAGGACTCCTCTCTTCAAAAAAGAATTCGATTCAAACATCTGCCTTTACTGCTCCACCCCCTCGGAGTATGTGGAAGCCTCAGGGCTACCGGGATCCTGACTCAAAGGTCGACATTCAGTGACCTTCAGACCTCTGATTGATTTGGGAGCCTCCAGCCCTCTGGCCCATTCGCCTCTCCTGGGACATCCTGGGCAGCCACTCCAGACTCAGGGACGCCAGGAGCCTCTTTTCCTTAATCCCTCCAGCTGCCGGCTGGAGGCCCCAGCAAGGGCCAGGAAGAAGGCTCATTTCCCTGACCCCAGCAGAAGGGGAGGGGGAGCTGAGTCCTTGGGCCTGCCACCCAAGAACCTTATTTCTATACAAAGAGGGTTTAGGGAATGCTGCTGTCTGGCTAGGGAGGAGAAGAAAAAAAATTAAAGTCTAATACTGTTAAAGAAAAAAAAAACACATTGAATTATTAGAGACAGACTGTGTAAGAAAAATTTTATTGAGGACTGTCCCAATAGATATAAGGACCTTGACAGTGGGTTTTTCTTCTTAAATTACATTAGCTTATTTATTTTGCATGAAGGGGGTTGGGCACTTGTGGAGGTCAAAAGACAACTTGCAGGAGTCAGCCCTCTCCTTCCCATGATGAAAAGAATGTCCAGTCCCAGGGACCAAACTGAAGTTGTCATGCTTGGCTACCATCACCCTTATGCAGCTGAGCCATCTCACCGGCCCTGGGTTTTTCTAGGAGCTTGAGGGGTGAAGATACACTCTAACTCCAAACACAGTGTGAGCAAGTTGGAAATCTATAAGCAAGAATTGGGATCAAGTCCATGGATAGGAAAGGTCCCCACAGAGACATCATGACGAGCTGGAGTCTTGCTGAACACAGGGCAGGGGTGAGGGTGGGGTGGTATGGGGTGAGACATCACCGGGTGGAATGAAGAAGGTGATCAGATATGCCAGATGTGGGGATAGTAGGTTCTTGCTAATATAAAATTTTACACAAAAGTCCATGGACCAGCCCAGAGGTTTCTGGAACTCCATGAAAGTCTGATAAAACCTAGAATGTTTGACAATATCCTGCGGAGGGAAGGTGTGGACCCTGGTCATATTTTCATATTCACGAAGATATTGATAGCTGACGGTGTGGATTCTGTTCCCATTCTCTTCTGGAATCTCAAAACTTGCCTCCTGCTGCAGCAGAAAGGGTGGAGATAAAGCCAAGGTCTCCTGGACCTCCTTCTGATGGCCCTCAGAATTCCTTAAAAGCCTCAGGTTCATGACACCTCTGTGTCATGACCTCTGAAGGTCCCATCTCAGGAAGAAAGAACACAAAACCTCCCTAGTCCCTGCTCCATTGCAAAACTCTCAGCAGACATCAATAGTTTTAACTCATCACTTGAGTACCATATTATGGGATGGCAGGTGGCTCCTTTCCTGAAACCCTCATCCCTCCCATTATATATACTCTACAATGGAAGAATCTTGAGGCACACTGCCCAGGGATGGTCAGGTGTAAACTCTAAATCAAACCTTGTCAAACAGTAGCAATGGCGTACTCAGTCACTGAACAAATCTTCTGCAGGCCTGTGGCCAGACCTAGCTTACATTCAGGGATCAGGGAACACACAGAATCATGCCTGTGCCACCTGGGGGTGGTCATGCAGCCCTGAAGTCTCAGCACTCTGGGGACTGAGGAGGACTGGGAGTTCCAGGCCAGCATGAGTGACTTAATGCCTACACATCACCATAGAAGAGTCACTCTTTACCTGGAAGTGATAGAGTAAGGAACCAGATACTGGCAATCAAGGCAAGGCAATTTAAAAAGTGAATAGGGATCTGAGGCTGTAGCACGGTTGGCAGAGCACTCACCTAGCATGCACAAGGCCCTGGGTTCAATCCTCAGTACTGCAAAAAAATAAAATTAAAAAAACAATGGAGTTAGGTGATATCACACTCACACACAAGCCAATGGAAACACAGGGAAGAAGTGTGAAAACAGACAAATAGAATCACATCCATCTTAAAACTTCTATGGCCAGAGGAAGGGATGATTGATGGCTACAAAGGCAGTTTAGGGGGGGCAGTGAGATCGCTGGTAGGTGCTTTCCCAACCTGAGTTCTACTCACATGATGGAAGGAGAGAAACACATCCCAAAAGTTGTTCTCTGTCCTCCACACATGTACCACAGTGAGCTCCAGCATGCACCGTACACACTCATACATGACAAATGAATGCACAACATTTTAAAATGGCAATCTATAAAACAAGAGGCAGTGCCTCATAAAGCACTGAGGTTTAAATATATAAGGAAACTCCAAGAACTCATCAATGTGAAGGAGAAAAGTCACGTGGAAGGAGAGATGGCTTGGCAGTGAAGACACTGGCTTCTCTTCCAGAGGACTGAGGATCAGTCCCCAGCACTCACATGGGGGCTCACAACCACCAGTAACCCTGGTTCCAGGGCATCCATCACCCTCTCCTGGCCTGCATGGACACCAGGCACACATGTGGTACATAGGCATATATGCAATCTGAGCACTCACAATAAAATAAATCTTAAAAAACAACCCAGTTTTATCTCTCAAAAAATGGAAAAGAGATTAAATTGCTTTTTTCTCCAAAGATATAAAATGGCCAACAAATCCATGAAAAGTCATCTGAGGCCATTAATCATTAGAACATTGCAATCTGAAACAACGATGCAGCATTACCAACTGATTAGGATGGCAGCAGGGCCAGCGAGATGGCTCAAGATGCTATAGGAGCTTGCTAGCAAGCCTGAGGACCTGAGTTCAATCCCTGGCACTTACATGGTAGAAGGAAAGAAGTAACTCTTGAAGGTTGTCCTCCGACTTCTCTATACATGTGGCAAGACACACTCTCTCTCTCTCACATACACACATACACACACACACACACACATACACACTAATAATAAATAAATAAAAGAAAAGAAAGTGGCAGCTGCTGGAGGAACACCTGGAACCACCATCCTTATTTATACATTCATGGACTTGACTGCCTGAAATAATTGGAACCACATAGCATTTGTCATTTTGGTGTCTGCTACTTTCCTACTTAGCTTAATGTCCTGGAGTTTCACACATAGAGCATATATCAGAATTGCCTCCCTTTTTGTGACTGAATAGTATCCCACTTAATGAATATAATGCCACATTTTGTTTATGTGTTCATATATTGATAAACACTTGGCTCTTTGCTGCCCCTAGATTGGCATACGTAATGCTTGTATGGATGCACGCGTAAGAACATCTTCAAGGCCCTGTTTTCATTTCTTTTGGGTCTGTGTCCACAGTGGAACTGCTGAATACAGACAACTGAGAACTTGTGTTTTTCAAATGACTGTTGCCCAAGCATAGTGCCTGGAATTCGGGAAACTTTGAACTATGCTTACAAAACAATCCTTGGAAGATTCCTCTGCTAAGACTCTGTACAGGCTATCTTTTTCCTTCAAGATACAATCTCTCTCTGTGTCTGTATATAGGGGCAGCAGAGCCGAGGTGCCTTTGTGTGTACATGTACATGGAAGCCGAAAGGCAAACTTAGATGCTATTCTCAGTCACGATTCACCTTAAAATGAAAAAAAAAGAAAAAAAACACAGGGCCTCTCACTGGCCTGGAACTAAACAAGCAGGTTAGGCTACTTGGCCAAAGATCCCTACTGCTCCATTTTAGCAGCACTGGGGTTACAACACACAGAACTCCCATTGACTTTTGTTGGTCTGTTTGTTTGTTTCTTTGTTATTAACATAGTGCTGGGAATTGAACTCATGTTCTCATGATTCTGAAGCAAGCACTTTGGTTGAGGCAAGAACTCTTAGGATATCCATTCCACTCACTAGGGCTCAGGAAGATGAAACAAACTGATGTCAGGGAACCAGTAACAGGGGAGGTTGATGGCCTACTGGACGGTCAGGCGAATGCTGAGAGGCGTGGTCTTCAGCCTAATGGGCACTGGCCAGTTTCAAAGAGGTGATGCCCTCCACTTTTCCTCTTGAGAAGATCCCTGCGGCTGCAAGTGCTG